TGTATAATTTCCAGGTCTTGTAAGTAGTAACTCTGTATTTTTTCAGTTTCCTAATGGTTGTTGCCGAAGGGCAACTTGCAATCATGATAAGAACCACAAGGGCCCATCCCATCACGACACTGGTCTTTGATAGGCTAAGACCAATACAAAACACCTTTTTATGGCAGATAAGGTTTTTCATAATCTAAATTGTACTGGCTTTACTTAATGCCCTGTCCTCACCCTATATTTAGTTAAACAAACTCTTATATAGCACTTACTATATACCAGGTATTGTTCTAAATGCTTTACAAGTGTTAATTAATTTGACCCTTGTAACAACACTAACCAGTAATATATTAATTAGGGCAGGCAAAGTTGCTTTAACAAATGAACACAAAATATGAGTGGCTTAATACTTAAAGGATTATTTCTCATTATATGTAAAATGTGTTTCAGTAAGTCTCTGCTCAACATCACCACTCAGAAACCCAGGCTGACAGAGGTACTTGTAGTTTTACCATATAAAACACATGGCCTTCTAGGCCCCTGCAGAAGAGGAAAAGAAAACAACTGGGAGGCACACTGGCATTGACTGGCTTGATGTGAAGCTCAACTCATCACTGCACACACCATCTGTTGGCCAGATGTATTCAGTACCAACTTAACTATAAGAGAAAATGGAAAGAAAGAATACATGTGATGTTTGGTGAGCACAGTGTCTCTGCCACAGGTAGGAAATACTAGTATTTTTCTTAGATAGAAGAAAAAAAAATTTTTTAAAGGCCTGGAAAGGTTATGTAACTGGTTTAAGATCACTCAGGTAGTTGGTTGCAAATCCAAGATTTATACCCAGGCAATCTGGCTCTATAGTCCACATTATCAACTTCTATGGTAGGCTCCCTCCTTACTCCCTCCTTCTCTATTCACTCTCCACTCCTCACTATGCCCCAAACATGTGCTTTTAACAACACATTTCTTCTTTTCTGAAACATTCTTTCCAACTAAATAGACTTGGTAATATCCTATTTATTTATCCTTCACAGTGCAACTTCAGTAATGTGAGAAGATAGCCTCACATTTGCCTAATGAAGAACTTTGACATTTGAACTCCCCAAAAACTTTGTATATATTTAGGATATAGCACTTATCATATTTAACCTCTGTGTGTTGCACATTTATACCTATGTGATTCTTCTTCTCAGCTAGGATAAACTCAGAGACTGTGTCATATACATTTATCTCTCTAGCATCTAGCAGGGTGTCAGGCATATGGTGTACACAATTAAATGAGTGCTAAATAAATGAGTGAATGAATCAACAAATCCGTGCTTGAAGGGCTAGTAAATTGAAGGGGCTAATAAAAACAGCCAGAGATGAAACAAGAATCTTTTATTAAGCACCAACTCTGTGCCAACCATTATTGGTGGACTTTTTGTGCAAGTAGAGGTGTTCTACAAATGGATTTTAACATACTTACTTTCACACTGGAAATGGGGTCAAAAGAAGAAATCTGAAACTGAGAAATTTGCTTCCTTTGGCAATTCCTTAGGCAGAAGCTAAATTTGTGTCTGTGACTGACCCACTTAATTCTGGGTGGCATGGCTTTGGTGAGCCCTCATGGTCATACACATATGTCAAATACATGCTTCTAATTTGCTGAGTAGCTCATATATTGGTGAAGTCACTGAAATGTTAAATCAGAGTAAAATAACTTTGCCTCATATTTCTGAGAGAAAGTAAATAATTAGGCAGCAAGCTTTTCCAAACACACATATGCCATCTTGTCTTTCTGGCTGAAGTGTCTCCACTCTTGTCCAAGGTCTCCTCCTGCTGTCTCAGAAGCCTGTGTCCTGCAGTCTTTCTGGCATCATCACGTGCCTCGCCAGTTCTCTATTTCCTACTGGATGGTTCCATGGATACATGAACATGCCTAGAAGATCTTTTCCTGAAAAGAATGCCTCCCTGACCCCATGCCAGTTGGTTAGATATTTATATAGTTTGTAAAATGATCCCCCTAATTGCTCTTTCTCTCCTCTAGCTCCCACCTAGCCATTATATTAAATGTTAACTGCATTCCCTATGCCATACTCCCCATTCCCATGACCAACTACTAATTTGTACTTCTTTAACCCTTCACCCCATTCTCCTAGCCCCCTAATCCCCCTCCCCTTTGACTGTCACCAGTTTGTACTCTATATTTTTGAGTCTGTTTTTGATTAGTTTGTTCTTTTTGCTCCTTAGATTCTTCATATAAGTGAAATCACATGCTACTTCTTCCTAAAACCCCAATGACTTCTCATCATTCTCAGAATAAAATTTTAAGTGCATATTATGCCTCTACCTAGTTACTACTCTTTTCTGAATCTCATGGAGTCTATAAGGCAATCTTCCAGCTTTGTTGTGAAGATCGAATTTCAACATATGTAAGAAACTTAGAACAATGATAGTGACTGGCACAAAAGAAAAACTATGTAAATTATTATTGCTTCAATGTTTGTGAAACAGTAGAATATGTCTATCTATCCATATATATATCCTCAGTTCCTGGCACAGAGCTACTAACACCTTGTAGTTTCCTAAGTGATAAGAGCAGTAGGAATATCTTTTGTCCTAATATATGGCCCTTGACCCTGGTTCCTGACAATAAGCTCCTAAATGCCTTGGAATTTTTCTGAGTGACAAGAGGGCCGTTTGTTCTAATGAAGCAATTCTGTGATATCTCTCTCTCTCTCTCTCTCTCTCTCTCTTTCTCTCTCTCTCTCTCTCTCTCTCTCTCTCTCAAAAAAAAACACCCACACACACACACACACACACACACACACACACACACACACACACACACTTCCCTAATGGAGGCATAATGCTGAGTAGGGTGCTGGAGTTGTGAAGAGAAGCAGAAAAGTGTCTGAGCTGCTGGATTGTATAAGAGAAAAAGGATGCATACCAGAGCTCCTATTATGCTCTTTAGAATTCCTTTTTCCAACCTCTCTCTAAGAGGAAAAGAGATGGGATGGGGACGTAATGCATGGTACAATTGTAACATCCATTATTGTGGTTTTTCTATCAACATCTCAGCTCACAAATTTGCTTTTAAATGTTTACATGCTGAATGAAATCTCTTCCAACTAAGAAATCTCTTAAAAACTGACCACTATTTCAATAACACTTTGGACCAGGCTATAAGAACCACAAGTACCGGTGTATGATTTTGTAGTTTTCTAAGCACTACTACAAACCTAATCTCATTTAATCCTCCCAACAACTCCCTTTACAACCCAGAGTTACAACCTGGCAGAGTTAGAATTCTAACACATATCTTCTAGCTTTAAATCTCACATCCTTTCTACTCTGCTTTTTTCAAGAGCATTTTGCCTGATTTTCTTGCATAATTAGAGGAAGGTGAGCACCCCCTGCCCCCAAGAAAAAATAAAAAACTAAAATAGAAAAACTCACTTTCTTTTCTAGGGCTTAGCCAAACCCATAGCTCATCGTATCCTTCTTTGAAATCTCTTTCATGTCTCCTAAATTGAGCTGCCTAAGTCTCCATTCAGAGGGAATCTGCTGAAAATTGCCTTCCCCCAAAGAGCACCCTGTGCTGCAATACTCCCTCCATTTGCCAAGCCTGCCTGGGGCCCACTAACTGGGTCCTGCCATTAGTTTTCCTAACCAGCTTATCAGATACACAGATCTTTGACAAAGGTTCTGTGAAGCTGTAAATCTAAGGGTTGATGATGAGGTGTTTCTTCTTTTCCAGGCAACACAAACAGTGGCTTTCTGGAGGCACTGCACAGCTATTATATTCTGTCTCAACTGTTTGGCTCTGGTGGGAAAAAGAGGCCTATGGAATACTCTGATTTGAGCCCTAAGGCATGTTGCCAAGTCCACAACTACTCACAAACAATCCTAAGCCTAAGCTGAGTCCAGTAGTGCCCAGGGAGAACATGCTTTGCCTAAGGGACAGGCCAGAGGAAAGGCACTTCATAAAAATGTGTTTCCCTGCTGGGAAATCAAACTCAGATTTCCTCTGTCCTCTGTCCTCTGTCCTTTCCAGACCACCCACTTGGGAACATCTTTCAGTTTGTGGTTGGAGCTAATATTTTCAAAAATGGCCACTGGTTTGGGATCAGCCCCAAAGCTCCAGTCCATCCTAAAACTTGTCTTAATGCTGCATTTAAACATTCAGGTTGATGATACCAACATCTACTCTTCATATTTTTATTTCCCTAAGCTGCCTTGAGATAACTTCAACTCCTATTCTCCTCCCAAACACAGGCATGTACATACATATGCACATATACACATACATACACATGCATCATACATACACATGCATATACTTGGACACACATATACAACAGTCTTTCCCTGCAGGCATTGGCAAACAGAAGCCAACAATATTGTACTCTAAAACTAAACAATTTTGCTTTGAATTACAGAGCTATAGATGGTGGTTTCTGTGAAATTTTATGACAGAGAATTGGCAGAACATGAGAGTTTTTTTTCTCGTTTTGGCCCATGCTCTGTTAGATGCCCTCGAGCACACAATTTCCTCTGTCTCACTGTTTAGTCTTGTGAAATATGGGTAATAGGGTTATTCTCTTCTTCTTAGTGAGATTAATGAGCCAAATGTTTGCAAGATGTCCTGAGAAGTTTGCTGGAAATTTTAAAACAAATTCATCTAAAACCATTTCTTCAAAGCCCTAGTTTATTGAATTCCTTAGATCAAAACTAAATGCAACTCTAAAATGCTGTTAAAAAGGAGCAAGGTCACAACTCTGTATCTATCATAAAACTTGTCATAAACTTAGGGAGCAACCTTGTCTAGCTGAGCCCATGGAAATTGTGTCTTAATCTGTTTCTTTTTATTTCTCTAATTTCACATTACTAGAAATACGCAGTCCATTTCATACAACATTTTTTCAAGGTTATGATAACAAACTAACTGTCTCTCCCCATGATGCATATGTTCTGGTGCTTCCTGGCCCAAGGTCTTTTCACTGGCTTTTCTTTCAAACCGTATTCATTCTTAGTCATCTCGGCTAGAAATTTCCTGCTTCAGAGCTAAAGGTAAGCACATTCTACTAATTTCTCAGGTTCTTATGTGCTTTGGGATCATAATTAGAACAGTTAGAAACAAATGTGAGAAAAAATTGTACTCAGAATTCCTTCTAATAGTTTATTCTTTTAATTATGGTCTTTCATCCTTCCTGAGGAAGTTCATTTTCCTAATTGAATTATAACAATAAAATCCATTACTTATTTGTCTAACCAAAGTAGCCTTCCCTGTTAATAAATTTATAAGTTTCTCTATATTCTTAGTCTTTAAATTATTATCAAACTCTACCCAACAATTATGGCCAGGGTTTTCCTAATGGAAATAAGGGTGAAAAAAATCCTACTTCTTTTACCCTTTCATGAGAGTCACTCTTTTACCTAATTAACTTTTAATTAAGCATGGTAATTATGGTAATTAGGGAAGCTGGCATGTGTTTGGCTTCCTGCATCACTGCCATTAACATATGCAAGTGGATTATTTGTGGTTCTGGGACAATATATATTCTCTCTGCCTTTGTTATCCATTAGTTCCACAGTCCTCTGACTTCCTTGGTAACAGCACAGGGTGTAGTATAAACAAGAAGTAAAAACATGTTCATTATCACAAACTCTTCCAAAATTATTATCTCTTGGAAAGCCACTCAGTAACTGCAGTCTTGAGAAACTCTTTGCTTGGTTGACTCTGTCATTGAGGGACATGCATTCTCCAGAAAAGAGGTCTCAGTCTTTTTTTTCTTTTCTTTTTGCTCTTTTTTTTTTTTTTGGCTTTTTAAAAAATTAATTAATTTATTTTTATGGTGACATTAGTTAACGAAATTCAGTAAGTTTCAGCTATACATTTTAACAGTAAGGCATTGTGTGTTTACCTCCCATAGTTAGATTTCTTCCTGTCACCACATATTTGACCCCTTTTACCTCATCT